TTTCACAGGCCGCACTGTGGCTGAATAGGAAGAAATTGGAAAAAAATGTGAAATCGATTGCTTGGATTGCAGCTGTAGTTTTATTTGTCTCCCTTTCTGTCATTTTACAGTGTTAGATGCATTTCTAGCTTGCACAGCATTGATAATGGCACTGAAATATATATGCTACCTTTAGGTTTAAAGCAGTATACTTCGGCATGCACCACCTACAGGTAGGCTACTACTGAAATAGCTCTGGTAGGAATGTCAGCTGTGGGTCAGTTTTGAGATATGCTTATACACGTTATGTCAATTTTATTGTGTAGTAAAATTTTAATTTTTAAGAATGGACAATACCTGAAATCAGTGGTGGAAGAAGTACTCAGATTGTTTACTTAGATGCAACCGTATAAAATATTTTAACTTGCAGTTTAAAAAATATTAATAATGAAACCTTGAAGCTTGAAGTAAAATGTTTTGAGGATTCAGATGAAGTGTAATCTATTAAGGAAAGTTAAAATAAATCTGTTACAATTAGTAAGCTTCTTATGTGATATTACCTAACTTTGACAACTTATTAATTAAGTGGAAAAATGAGGATACATCAGCAGGGGGTTAATGCTTGAGATGTTTAATTAACACAATGTGTGATCTTAAACAGTGACATCCCAAGGCAGGGTTGTAACATTATTGCTAAAATCGATTAATAAATGAATTTTAATTAAAAGCTATTGAGATTAAATGACAGCATGTTAATAAATGGGAGTTACATGGCAATCGCAGTGTTCAATATACAGCAATTACTGCAGTGTATTTCTCCTGACAGCACGAGGTTGTAGGTGCTGCGACATGCTGTGAATGTCTAAAGACCCACTTCAGCAAACTCCTATTTGATTCTGAGAGAAAGCGAAAATGGCAATGAATTATCAGCTGCCACTGCCACAAAGGGCATCGCCTCATTAATGTTGACAGTTTGTGTGAAGAGCCTGAAATATGCAATCAACATAATAATAGAAAATTTAAATGGTTGACCCAAATGTAAGTTCGACTTAATCACTAGATGCAAAACAAACTTTTTTTTAGAGCACCTATAAATATTTAAGTAAGAGTTTTCCCTTTAGATAGAGAAATTTAATTGTAAGTAGCAGCCTTTGCTTATTTGTTTATTCTGAAGCAAAATCATTCCTGTGCATTGACTGATGTGGCTGGTGTTATTGTATATTTTTGATTGGTTCTGCACAAATTATAAAACAATTTGTCAGTACTGTTTCTTTTTCTGCCATCATCACCATCACATTTATCCAAAAAACAGAAACTTTAGTGACACATAACAGTGGGTGACGTCATCTGTTACAGTTCAATTAGGCAGGACCATTTAAACAGAATTGCTGGATATTTTGTCGTTTTCGAACATCCACCAAAGAGTATAATTGTAATTTTGATAATTATTGTGTTAAAAAAAAGCCTACAAACATAACAAACACACAATAGAATGTGAACTGAGTAACAGTAAAATATTTATTTGTTTGGTGCAACCTGGAGGCATTTTCTATCCCCTGTCACTTTCAGTACTACTCAAAAATGTCACCTCTTTCTTGAAGGTTGAAGAAACTCATCTAAACTCAATTTATTTAGCTTTAAAAATGTCAAAAGCAGTACACAGGTTTGCCCAGTTTGTCAAGCCAATATGTGATCTAAATTTTATTGGCTACATGATAATGTTTGACAAGTTATGAACAAGCATATGAAAACATCATAGAAATATGACAAGTCTGGAGACATTTACTTTGAATTTAAATGTCTAGATTATTTCTGTGGGGTATATGTAATGAAAAAGAATTTAAAGAGATATTCCAGTTTCATTTAATGCACAGATTTGGTATGTAAAGTGTAAATGAGGACAAGGTTTCCTAAAAGGGTTTATATTAGGGAAAATCTGGACACCTTGGAAAACTCTTAAAGCTGTCTGCAGAACACAGCAGCCCACTTAATTTATGTGAGAAATGTAATTCACTGATATTACTGGTACTACTATGGCACACAAGCACACTATGCTAACAAACAGGCAATACCTGAGCAAGGCCATGGAGCAACACGAACCAAAGCAAAGACTAAAAAGCAGTCTGGTTTCAGCCAACCAACAAATACTGTAGGTCCATAACAGATGGTGAGAAATACTGATCATCATCTCTGAGTTCACAGGTATTTCAGGCATCCAGTACTAGTATATATATATATACCCACACATTTTGCATTGTATTACTTTCCTGATGGTTTTTTAAGGAAAACAAATCTATGTCACATTTTGTCACATTTATCAAAAACCTCTCAACTCACAAAAGATCCACAGTTTAGACTCACAACTTAACAACCTGGCTGAATGCTCACAATATGCAAATGATTTTATACAATGAATTTAAAAATCAGTAGTAGAATCTTATGCCAGCATGCGAATGTGTATCTTGAGTCCTCAAACAGCACATGATAGAGAGATGAACAAGTCTGTCAGTGTGTGTGGTGACAGCTTCTGAATAAGAATGTATAATTGTCAAAATTTTATATTTTAGGTCAATTTTATATTTGACCTTAAATATAAGGTCAAATATAACACCTTATAACCAACAGTGACAATTAGTGGCAAGGTTTGTATTTTTTCACATCAATATAAACTTAACCCACTAAAATCACACTTTAGTTGGATATTTTGCAGCTACAGTTGCAACCTTTCACCACTCCTGCAGCTTTTCTAACAGTTTATATCATTTCAAATCCCTGTTGCAACATGACAAACCCATAATCACGCAGCGCATGCAAAGGTTACTGTATATTTCATCCCTTACCGGCTGATTCTCATTTGATTTTAATACCAGTGTTTAACCAGCTTCAACTATATACAGTTATGTTCAGTTATCCTGACATGTTGGGAAAAAAACTTTTGAGATAGAAGGTTCAAAACAAGCAGATCACTTTATTACATGCAGAGTCCAGTGAATTGCAATTCCCCCAGAGTACATTGTTTAATTTCCTATATACCTTAATATCACAGCCTATTGACCAACTTTATTACCATACATGGACACACAGATCATCTCTATCCATCATAATTAGTTATCTTTTACCCATCATGATGTGTGTGTGCTGCAGAGTATCATGTCCCATGGTGTTAATGCTATCAAAAAATGTGTCTCAGCTTTCTAATCAAACATGTTTCTGTAACTAGATGTTCTTGGACTGTGGACAGGATTTCCCCCAAAAGTCATGGTGACCCGCAATGTCCTGTCTCTACCTGGTAATCATTTCACTGTTAAAGTTACCTCATCAACCCTTATCAAACAGTGAACAGACACACAATATTGGGTGAAAGAATACACAACAGTATACAGTATGACATAGTACAGTGCATATATGCACATTACATATTACCTATATAAGCAACATAAATGTTAAATGGTTCTCAAATCTTTTTGCATACAGATGTGTATGTGTGAAACCAAACCTCTGAGATATGTTAACTACTCACTCCCCCCTCCCATCCAGCATAGTACTTTCTTGCCAAGACAGGAATCACCTGCTTACAGACACAGTCTCTAGCTTCGGAACTAACTGTCACACAGCTACAATTTCGACTGCACAATACCCTTCACATCATAATATCTTCATGGAAAATATAAAAATGTGCATGCCATTATGATATTATATGCAAAGATACATGAATGCAATTCATATACCACCACAGTGTTTTCCATGCATGTCTGTGTTGTGCAGTTTCTTTGAATATAATTCTACAGTATATCTGGATTTACAAATTTTCTCCCTTTGTTATTTGGAGTTATATGGAGAATTTGAAAAAATCTTCTGGTCTGAAAATTCTCTTTGGCACACTACTATTCAGAAGTTTGGGGTGTCCTCTATTTTTCCAGTTGTTATTAGGGTAATACTACAGCTGAACAGTGGCATTTTTTTCTACAACTGAAATATTATTTGGATAGATATCATTGTTGCAGAAGTTCTCATAAAATATTCTGCACTTGTAGGTTGCTTTGCTGGCACTCGATTTTCTCCAAAGTCTGGTCACTGTGCTGGCCACTCCATCATTTAAAGCCTACTGTCTGGGGATCATTATCCTGCTAAATGATGAAAACCCTGAAAAGGTCTGACTTCCTTTGTTAATTTACTTTGTGCAAATAATGCTGCAGATGTAGTAACATAGACTTTTCCAACACTGTCACTGTACACATAGAATTGTATTGTTGTAAGTAATCAACAACAGTTGAAATATCATAGAAATTGCATCAATTTCCAAGGTTTAATTTAGTTTCACTACTGCAGAACAGATGTATGTTAACCTATTACTTCATCCCTGTAAAAAGGGGTTTCACACAAAATTTACACACATTTTTAGTTTCATTGACTTTTTGTTCATTGTTTACCTCTGGTGGTTTGCTTATGAATTTGGTACAATTTAACCATGTTTACTGACCTGGCTCAGCTGCTTAAATGTCATAATAAAATGCAAAAAATTGTTATAAAAAATGGAAGTGACCCCAAACCTTTGAAAGTTTTGGACAAAAAGATATTTAACAAAATCCTTGTTTACAAAAAATCAATTGCCATGGGGTGTAAGAAAACATGTACGGTAATAGTGAAATATATTAATAAAAGTGAGAATATCATGCATTATTTATCCAAATTTTTATTTACTGTCTCACTTATATGACTAAGTATATAAGGACATGGGCAAAGAAAGTGGTGTCAATCCCTATGATGCAGTAATGTTTATGATCACAAACAGCTCAGGTCACTACTTTAGTCAGAGTGCTTCCTCTCAACTTTTTACTACCCTTTGTCCGCCTGTTTAAAGGGGATGCTTTGACTATTTTCTTGACTATATTGAGTGTTATCTGTAATTTGCCCACACACCATGATACATACACCAACTTTCTTCCTATTTCAGAGGACAGGAACATGATTGGTTGCCAGGTCAGTACTTTTCTTGTGATTGGTTGCCAGGTCAGTACTTTTCTTGTGATTGGTTGTTACTTGTTTCCGGGGCTCCGCTGTGCACTCCGTGACGTTTCTCGGTCTGCCCCGAGACAGACTGGAGAGAATGGCTGCCAGTGGAGGTTAGCAAAATCTTCATTGTTTTGTGTCTTGATCTGACTTAAATAACGACATTTAAAGTTATAATTCGTGTGTTTATATATTCGTGGAGTAGTGTCTCATAAAGTAACGAAAAGAGTCGTGACATGTTACTTTCTTGTTAAAAAGAGGTCAGGCTCTAAACGACTCCTCAAAAGTGTTGGTATCGTTAGCCTGGCTTTGCAGCTAACGTTAGCAGTCTGGCTAACTTTCGGCCGGTTAGCTCGCAGCCCACAGCTGACGGTGTAAACGCTTGTTTATAACAGAGACAAAGGTTAGACAAGTTGCAGTTACAATTGCTAATATCAGTGCTAATGCATTGAACGTGGCACTGAATACTGCCACGTGTTACCAAGATATGAACGTTAGGACTGAAAACACTTGAGGTTTTTGTCGTCCTTTATATTTCGCATTTGTTGTGTCAAGAAAAGCTTGCTAACATTAGCTTGGTGCCTAGCTTTCTGCTAAAAGTTAAACTCGTATGTCAACTAGCTTACGTAACCCCAGGTATTGTTAATTTCGTGATAAACATGCGTTCTGACGAACACAACATAACATTGCTCTTAAGTAGTTTATATCGTCAAAGTTGGCGTTCGGCAGTAGCGTTATAATTATCTGCCCACACAGTCACAGCAGGCACCGGGCAATGATGTGAGGTGTTAGCCAACTAGCTACCACCTGCCGAGACAGTGGTTCTCTATTCACTCATTGCAAGTCTTTGTCCTGTCATGGAGTTGGCGTTGCACAACACGAGATATTTGTTGGAAAACTTTTTGTTCCTTAACAGTTTTTGTTGTTTGTTCCTGAGAAAAAATAAGTCTCCCTAACTTTTGCAGTGTTAGTTTATAGTATACATTTTTGTCGAACATACAGAACGTTTTGCTACCATCTTACGTGGTATAGATCTACAATCGCAGCGTTTAGTTTGCTTTGTGCCATTTCAAACAGTGCCATCAATTTCATATTGTTTTCCGTTGAAGTGTATAACACAGTAGAGGTGCTGTCATCATCACCAGTTTATTTTTGTTTTCAGTAGATCAAAAACGACCTTAACCACAAAAGGAGCTTTCAGTTGTTTGTGTGGTGTCTTTCATTTCTAAAGTTGACACAATGATCTTGTGTTTTTCTCTTTTTGCTCTGTTATATTAAGAGGTAGGGAAGCTGTTACAAGTACAAAATGGGACACCTCCAACCACCAACTACAACGGGGTAGATGCTGTTCATGCTTGTAACATTCTTCAGCAGCTCAAAGTCTTGTATGATGAAGCACAGCTCACAGACATCGTTGTAGAAGTGGACCATGGCAAGACTTTCTCATGTCACCGAAACGTCCTTGCGGCAATCAGTCCATATTTTAGGTAAGATTTATTGGATGATAAATAAATATAACAAGTGTATTTTTACAAACAGGTTGCTGGAAATCTTGAAACTTTAGTTCAAGATTCAACTTGGCTACCGGTTAACAGGTAACTGTTATGATCAGGGATGTCCCAGAAACATTTTTTGGCCCCAGTCAAGCTCCTATAATAGATAGATAGATCACTTTATTAATCCCCACAATTGGGGATGTGCCGATAACAAGTCTGAATCAATACATAAACTTCCCTAATTAGTACCCTGCAAATGTTGCTGCTTATATTTTGCCTTTTAGTGAATGCACACACACACACACACACACACACACACACACACACACACAGAGAGAGAGACAGATCTAGAGATAGGTGGGGAGCTGGTTGGTTTTTTGTTCATTATGGGTGAAATAGGGACTTCAGCAAGTTGCAAAGCAGGGAAGATGTCACATTTCTGCAAGTTTGTGTTCTGCTTCAACGGGTGATGAATTGCTTTTACTGTCCATTACAAGCGCCACTCCCCTGTGTGTGTGTGTGTGTGTGTGTGTGTGTGTGTGTGTGTGTGTGTGTGAGAGAGAGAGAGAGAGAGAGAAAGAGAGAGTGAGAGAGAGACCCCAAGATTGACTGCAGCATTAGAAAGATGACATTAAAATAAAGAAATATAGGTGTTTGATTAGCTTTTTTTGTCAATACCAGTCCTTTAAAATATGCCAAGATCAACCCCAATATGATCCTTAGGTTTGGCTTGGAACATTTCTTGTTATGATGTTAAGATCAAATCTCTTTCAAATCAAATGTCTTTATTGAACACAGCCATTAAACATACAGTCTTGTGACTGTAGTCATATATCCCCCCCCCCTCTTTACCACCAGGTCCATGTTCACTAGTGGCCTTACAGAGAGCAGCCAGCGCGAGGTCAGAATTGTTGGGGTGGAATCGGAATCCATGCACCTTGTCCTAGACTATGCCTACACATCCAGGGTCACGCTCTCTGAGTCCAATGTCCAGGCCCTGTTCACTGCAGCCAGCATTTTCCAGATTCCTGCCCTTCAAGACCAGTGCGCCCAGTTCATGATCAGTCGTCTTGACCCCCAAAACTGTATTGGGGTCTACATGTTCGCTGATGCCTATGGGCACCAGGAGCTGAGGGAACGTTCACAGGACTACATCCGGAAGAAGGTCAGTTTAACATGAGCACAACATTGGTTATTTGCATTCTGAGTCAATACATTTTCCAAAGTCATTGTTTTATTCTTGTCTTATAACAGTTTATTTGTGACCAGTGGCTCTGGGTGCTAAAAACGGAAACATTTTATTTTATTTTATTTTTTTTGTGGTAGTTCTTGTGTGTGTCACGGGAGCAAGAGTTCCTCCAGATGACGAAGGAGCAGCTGGTCAGTATTTTGAACAATGATGACCTCAATGTGGAGAAAGAAGAGCATGTGTATGAGAGCATTGTCCGCTGGCTGGAGCATGATCTGCCTGGCCGTGAGGCCCACCTAGCTGAGGTTTTTTCCCTGTGCATCCGTCTGCCATTGCTAGATGAGTCCTTTCTCAGTCAGATACCGGCCCCCTTTGCTTGCGCCCTCTCCCTGTCTAAAGACCCTGATGAGGCTAAAGCCCGTCTCACCGGCACCAACGGTTGCCCTCAGCGCCTGGGTATGACTGCTTCCGAGATGATTATATGCTTTGACGCCGCTCACAAACACTCAGGGAAGAAGCAGACGGTGCCTTGCCTGGACACAGCCACAGGAAGGGTGTTCAAGCTCTGCAAACCACCTAATGATCTCCGGGAGGTTGGTATCTTGGTGTCCTCAGAGAACGACATCTACGTCGCTGGTGGCTACCGGCCGAGCAACAGTGAGGTGTGCATAGACCATCGAGCAGAGAGTGACTTCTGGCAGTACGAACATGCAGGCAATCGATGGCTTCCACGTGCACCTCTGCTGAGAGCAAGAATAGGCTGCAAACTTGTGCACTGCTGTGGGAAACTTTATGCACTGGGAGGCCGAGTTTATGAGGGCGATGGGCGAAATGCATTAAAATCAGTAGAATGCTATGATGCCAGGGACAATTGTTGGACAGCAGTCAGTCCTATGCCAGTAGCCATGGAGTTTCACAGTTCTGTCGAGTACAGGGACCGCATCTATGTCCTCCAAGGTGAGGTTGTGCTACTTCAGTGAACCTATATGGTCCTGATATTGAACTGAAAATGACAGTGATCATGTAATATATCTTATTAATTCAAGTGATCTGTAAATATGTATCTAATATCACATTTGAATGACAAGTACGTATGAGAAAGGATTTTAAATGGTAGATCATGGCTCTAAATTACATTTTTTTTGTTTTCTGCAGGTGAATATTTCTTCTGCTTTGATCCCCGTAAGGACTACTGGAGTCATCTGGCCCCGATGAGTGTCCCTCGGAGTCAGGGTCTGGCCTCCTTGTATAAGAACTGCATCTACTACATTGCTGGCATCTGCAAGAACCACCAGCGCACTTTCACTGTTGAGGTCTATGACATTGAGAAGAACACCTGGAGCCGTAAGAAAGATCTTCCCTTTGACCAAGCCACAAGCCCATATATCAAGGCCATGCTGCTGCAAGGCAAGCTACACCTGTTCGTACGAGCCACGCAGGTCATGGTGGAGGAGCACGTGTTTCGCACCAGCCGAAAGAACTCCCTTTACCAGTATGATGATGAGGCAGATGTTTGGACCAAAGTCTATGAGACACCTGACCGCCTCTGGGATTTGGGTCGCCATTTTGAATGTGTGGTGGCCAAACTTTATCCACAATGTCTCCAGAAAGTGCTTTGAGGTAGTTTGTATTGTGAACCCAGATTATGAGGCAGAGGGAGTAGTGTGGTCCTGCCTGCCTTGTCCCTGGTGTTACCATGGGTTTGCATCACAAAAACCATTTTTGGTTAAGTCTTAAGTCATTCAAACTTTAGGTTAACATGATCAAAATGGGGGTGCTTTTAAAGATTGCAGTATTTTTTTTTCCAGACACCACCAACTACCCACACTGATGCTTGTTTAACAAAACCATACAGTGAATTATAAGTGCAATTATCCTAATTTTTGCTTGTTGTTGAGCCATGTTGTTCTGTTTTGTTTTAGATTCATATATATATATAGGTCTGGATTCTTACGATAAGCATGCGAATGAGGGTTTTGACAAGATAAAAGTGCCCTCTGGAGATAGGAATGCTACACGTCAGCATAAAGTGAAAATTTATATATATATCTATATATAAATAACTAAAATGTATATTCTTACGGGTAAGATGAGTACAATAGCTCACTAGTAGGTTTCTGGCTCCTGAATTTGTTTGTGTGTGTGTGTGTGTGTGTGTGCGCGCGCGCGTTTTCCTCTCCAATTTCAAGTCTCTCTTTACCTTATTTTATAGATTAGTTTTAATTTGAAGCATGCTTGTGATTCATATTACCTTAGTGTTTTTGAAGCTTATTTGATATCCTTATGGTCCTCTCTTCCTTCACAAGCATCAGTGTGTCAATACACTTGTTGTGGCTTCCAAGCTGTTTTTGAGTTTAGTTTGAGATTCTAGCTGCATGGGGGCTTGAACTTCCCACTCTTTTAAGTTGGCATCCATTTTGTGTCACATGTAAAGACGGCTTAAGTGAATTGATCACTCTCCACATTGGAGAAACAAAGACGGAGTCAGATTTGTGGCAACACTAAGTGGAAAGTTCAGACCAAGTAACAGGTTTACCTCAAACCCTTCAAAGATATTTGGTGAGGAGAAAAGGGACACTTCAGGCTGTTGATTTAATTAAGTAGATGTGTGAAAAGTTCAGCTTTGAGCTGTGGTTATTTTTCGACAACAAATTATTCATTTGAAAAAAGTTGAAAGAGCTTTCCTCTTAAATGCCAAAAGAAAAAACATTTGAGGTCTTGTTCTAGTTGATCTGGACGTTGTAAAAAAAAAAAAAATGCTTGTGGTAGCAATAACTCATGGAACTGTGATTAGATTGTCGCATTATATGACCTTAGTAAGAGTGCATTAATGTTCTATGTGCTTGTCTCAGCTAGTGAAAATCTCACAGGTTCCAGTAATAATTGTTTGGCTGTTGCATGGATGCAGGGATGAAGTGGTGTGTAATTTGGTGCAGTTCAGGATGCCAGTGTGCCTGTGGCTAGAAGATGGACATTGGACTCTAAAGTTGTTCCTCATGGTGAAGAATATCCGAAAAGTCTTACTCAGCATTGCACTGAATCACTCTCCACTTCGACAGTCCGTAACTGCAAACTGAACAAGCAGACTTTGAGTAAGAGAGGGTGGCCTGGGTTGTTCGCTAATTCATCTAACAGCCATCAATCTATCTTTACACACTGTCACACAAGGACACAAACTGTTGGTGCTGTTTTGTTTGTGTTTGTGTGTGTGTGTTTGTTGTTTTGGACAATCTTGTATAAAAGAATTGATGCCACCGCTGAGTGGCATCCCCTGTCAGAGTGCGACATTGTCAGTGCCGTCAGTTTCCTCATGTAGGTTGCTGTATCATCTTTGCACTACACATTTCCTTTGTTCGGTCTTAACAGAGAGTGCCCCTCTGTTATGGTTTAAGTAACCGTATAGCAATCATCTGAGATTTAGATGGAAATGCATACCAGAAGAGTCACATTCAGAAAGGACCTGAGGATCCACTGTTGACTGATGTGAGCTTACTTTTAATTGTTTCAGTTTGAACGTTGCCCTCAGCAAGGGTCAGAGAAGGTTTGAGCTTCATCCACATCTCCACCCAGCCATTTGAGAACCAGGAATGGACAACTCTCAGGATTTCTACTGATACACAGTACTGTATTTAAATGTTTTTGTTATGTGTAATATACTGTACTATAGGTTTGCTGTACTTGCACAGATTTTTAAACCAGTTTATTTTATAACTTGAAAAAAAAAAAGATGTGATTTTTTTTTTTTTTTTTTTGTTTAATCAATGAATTTTTTTCTTTCATGTAATTGCCTATTTAGTCATTGTAGAGTAATCCTGCTCTGTTGAGAAAAAATGATTACCTGAACCCCCTGTAGTACAGTAGTATTTTTTTTGTAACATCTCTAACATAACTAAGCATTACAGATCAAGTAACTACACTGTTACGTCATGTTTGAAACACCAGTCATGCCTTGGGCCATATGAAGCTCCTCCTGGCTATACATCCATCGCTTATGGGTGCTATTCCATGGTGTTCCTCATGCATTTCTTTCCTCATTTTGCTGGTCTGTCCGTTTTGGGTTTTTGGGTTATAGTGGTGGTTGAGATCAACTGTGAAATTCACATTGCACATAATTTGAAAATAAAACAATTGAAAGTGATATTTGTCCATTTATTGTCCATTTTGAACGTGTGTGCCGCGATTTGGGCCATGTACTACTGTACATGACGTGTGTGTAGGACCGATGTCGCAACACCGAACGTGTGTGCCGTCATTTGGGCCATGTACTACCGTACATGGCGTGTGTGTAGGACCGATGTCGCAACACGTGGAGGCAGAGACAGTATGCCCTACAGGACACAGCTGATGTACTAGAGATCCTGGAACTAGTCCTGACTCGGAGGAGGCCATCGGTTCGCCACGTGACAGGACGTCAAATAAAGCAGGCTGAACCTTTGATCAGTAGCTCAGTGGAGACAGACGGGCTTGAACGGCGCTCAGTGGAAGGTAGGTTCTGATCTGACCTTATAAAAATGACTGATGCTGAAAGTTGGAGGTTTAATGGCTCCGACTTCCACTCCATGTGGAAAGTTTGTCGCCAAACTCAGTTTATGAAAAGTTCCACGTCACAGTGTTTAGTTTTAGTTACAAAGCTGTATTTAGGTTTAAGTCTAGCTGGAATGGTTTATTGTGTAGTTGTAAATGGAGTCACTATAGATGCTATCAACCGAAACCGCAGTAATAACACGCATGTTATAAATTTATCAAAGCTGTGGACGTCGTTATTCGGTGTGTCACATGCCATCTTTGCGTTTGGCCAAAACAACTGTCTCCTTCATTATGTTTATTCAGTTCACACCCAGCAGCCACATAACCGGCTTTCACATCTCACCATTATGAAATTAGTGCTGGGTCAGCTCCTGTTATCTTTGCAAACATGACTTCTGTAAACAAACCAGCACCAGAAAATGATAAAACGGATGTAGCTGTCATCTAGTTTTAGTCCAAATACCTGTCAGTTAATTAATAAAACCGATTTAGTTGGCATCTAGTTCTCCCAGTAAATTTGGAATATGTTCGATCCTTTATTTTGAAAGGTGGCTAATGCTTTGCAAAAGATAGTATAGCTTGTTTAAGTAAAACTATACATTCTGGATTTAAAGAGGTGTATAACATCAGTTCTTTAAGTTACAACATGTTCTCTTTGTTCTGATAACACAATAATGTCATGCATGTTCTCCACTCTGAACAAGATCATGTCCCCAGCACCAGCAAATGAGTTGGGCTATAAACCCCTGGATGGTGGTTGGGGCTGGATGGTGGTGTTTGGGGCCCATATTTCCATTGGATTTGCCTACTCGGCGCCAAAAGCCCTCTCTATTTTCTTCAAAGAGATCCAAGAGGACTTGGGGGCCAGCTACAGTGAAATAGCCTGGATCTCCTCTATCATGCTGGCTACCATGTATGCAGGCGGTGAGTTGATTCAATCAGTATTTGTTTTCTGCTAGGTAAGGCCAAATGCAAAAGTAATCACTGTTATCAGGAGCAGTCCCTATGAATACATTCACACTGTCAGATCATCGACAGATAGTTCACTTCATATTTAAGTTTAGTGATGGCCTTAGCTTTAAAGCTTTAATTGCTTTTGTTCTATGTGGATATTGCTTGTTAATAGTCTGCCAACATGTTTTTCAAAAGCTGACTTCATTTCAGCAAAGTAGGATAGAGGGTGTGCTCTTAGCCTGTTTGTCAAGCTGGCCCACAATGCTTTACCAGCTTCAGTACAGTAAAGCCAGTTTAATTCATGATCTTTGAGGTAGTAGTAAAAATTCGAAATCAAGGTTCAGTTTGTCAAGTAACTTGCTCAGAGAAATTAAACAAAGAATTGAGCTATAATGTTTGCAAATGAGTATTTTTAGAATTTGATTATTTTTAGTATTGCTGTTATCTTTTTCTGGTTTTCTGATAGGATAGTTTAAAGAGTAGTACTGCTCAGTAGCAGTATATAAAGTACTTGGTTCTGATGCACAACCAGTCAGCTTTCAGCTGTCTGAAGAACTTCATTAGCAGTTCAGTGGGCAGTGGACAGACACACAGTGCACTGGAAGAAGAGCCTAAATTTAGTGCCCTTCTTTATTTATTTTTATTGAATTGAATTGTTTTGAATCGAGAATTGACTTTGAATCAAATTTTGACACCAAGAATCTGAATTAAATTGAACCATGAGTTTGCCAAAGATTCCCGCCCCTAGAGGCGACCTCAGACATACCAGTACTGCAATTTCTTGTTACTTTCCAAAAGTGCTCTTAGATGGCAGCTGGATGTGCTTGAGGTTTATGAAGATGCTTCACAGTTGAGGGCTGTTGATGTCACTTGGCCTACCGGCCCACTAGTCATCATGTGTGTCACATGAGTTAAGATGTAAAGAGCGATGTCAGGACTGCACTGTAACTACTGCATTGCAATTTCTTGTTACTTTATGCCCACCACACACAATCTGCAGCAAGCTAATATTAGCAGATATGCTAATAAAACACCTGGTTACTATAAAAACACGAGGTTCAAATAGAAACTTAAAGCAGAGCAGTTTGGAATTCAGTGTAATCTGAGGTGAAATGTTCTTGGCGCATCGCAGGTTCTGTAGTCACCACATCTAAATAAGTATCCTTTACATAGCCAGAGAAGGCTTTAGTGTTAGGGGCCAAATAATAGCCTGAATGTTAACTGAACAGAACTGTTTTTTATTGCATTTCCTCAGGGCTCTGACATATCAGACTCACTTCCAAGAACTACTGTAGCACTGGTAATCATCAGCTGATCAAAATCACATCACACCCTCTGTTAAAAGTTACACTCGGACACATCACAAAGACGACAGCTAGTGGTCAGCTGACTGCAGACTTACACATCTGTGTGAGAGGGAATAAGCAGTCAGTGGTATGCATTTGTACTCAGTCAGCCTTAATGGCCATGCACTGTTGCATCAGTGAGTTTGTAAACAACATCAGCAGTTTGTGTTGCAAACCTGAGTTATCTGGAATTATACTGCAGATAATGTTCAAATAGAGAATCATGTCTAATTTTACAAGATGGAATAACTAATGATAATTATATTGGCGCTCTCTCTCTCTCTCTCTCCCCCTAAGAGTGATAATCAATAATCGAGGGCGGGAGAGCAGGTGAAGTCTGCCTGGTGGAAGCAGTGTTTAATGCACCGCAGGTCGTGCAGGTAGAGTTGCAATCTCATAGCAGTCTGGCAGTGATGTTTAGGTGGGTTACCAAGGCAACTGTAGCACAGGGGTGAGCAGAAGTGAGGTTCACACAGGGAGAGAGTCTGGCTCTTTGCTGTTGTTGGCAGTTCACTGATGGGCGGTCAGGTTTGGCCAGATGGACCTGTGGGCCAGCATAGCTCAGGGCTGAGGAGTTACAGTTTTTTTTTTCTGTTCTCCACTTCAGTTCTGGAGAAGAATCAGCCACGTGCAGGTGTGGAGTAGCGCACAAGGGGACTCGAGGATCAGTTGTAGTTTTAGGTTAAAGGGGTGTTGACCAGAGGGACTTGACCCTCATCTTAGAGGTCACACCTCTATTAACAGATGTTTCTATGCTCACAGTGGACCAGATATACATTTGTGAGTACAGTACTTTTCCTGAAACCGTCATGATGTACAGTATGCTGTTAAATGATACTAAATAGGCCTATGAAAGGTGTAGCACAGTGGAATCGAAGTAATTCCAAATGTCAGAAATAACACTGAAACACCATTTTAACCTGCACAAAACTATTCAATATGAAATTCAGCGATTTATTTGAGAGACTGGAGTCTGATTCGCTTGGTTTACGACTGAGGTCTGCAAGCAAGGAATGTTTGGAACGTGACACTTAATGGAAAATTGATCATCCAAAAAGAGGTCAGTGTGTGTTATCAGATGTTGTCCTCCTCTTTCACATGCACCGGCATCCTGTGGGTCACTCTCGGTGTGTGGAGAAAGTGGTGGAGGAGAAGAGTTAAAGAGCTCTGTTAAAGAGGAAGGATATGTGCAATAAAACTTAGAGATTGAAATCCCAGTTTTATAGTAAATGGAAAAATGATTTTGTCATCTACAAAGAAAACAAGGGAAAGTGGTGACGTGTCGTCCATCTGTTATATCCAGTCTATGGTTCACACAATTTTTTTTTTTTTTTTTGTAATGGGAATTACAAAATGTTTCTACAGCTTACTTCACATATTTTATTGTTGCCACTGCATGTCCTCAGCTTTATCAGGCCCTGTCTGCTTTTTGTTTCCTCCAGCTCACATCGTCTAGATCTGCTGTGATTTATTTTTGAATATCAAATGAGAGTGAAACGCCTGAATGGTTGACATATCTAAACATTACATAACATTACTCATGGGGCTGGTCTGAACCAATGCTGTTGTCTGAGCCACACAAGAAGCATTTGTAGATTTCACTGGCTATGAAGAGGCCTTGGTTTGATTCTGCATTTATGCAATAGATTTTTAATCTTTTGCCAAAAGAAAATACTGTAAATGTAAGATACTACATGACCCTTAAAACTCATAACATAATGGCTGAGTTATTGAATGTTTGCCATTTCAACCCTCATCTTACAAGAACTAAAGATTTTGTGCTGCAAAAAAGTCCCTGGGACTTGTCAGACAGCATACACATATCCCACCAGCAGGCAAAGGAATCTTAGAAATCTAAAATGCGAACTTTTTAGATGACACATGCAAAAATCTAACTTTTATGGAGGCTTTACATGGATTCACCAGTAGCTGCTTTCAAGGTTAGTGGACAACAGGGCGTATGACTGGTCTGCTTTTAACTCATGGAGGCCCAACTGGTGCAGTATTCCCCTCCACTGTTGCTTAGGTACAGGGCTTTATCATATTGTCCTTGGCAAGGCTTCACCAATGTCACCCAGTGGAGGAGAGAGAGAGATGGGGAATATATCAGAGGAAGGTTCAGCACACTGGGGTCTGACACCAGGTCCCCATGGGAGAGACATGACAGCCTTCTCAGAAAACCTCTGACTCAAGAAGTCTGAATGATGAAGTTATAATGGAAGTAGAAATGTTGCTAGTGTGGGAGATGCCCTATTGTGTGACACAGCTACTGCAAGAAAGATGATCTATCTTTGACCCCCAACGGCACCTGGTTAACTGCATAAGCAGCAGGATGGATATTTTGTTTTGTACTGTAGTCACAGTGGTGCAGCAGATGAAGTTGTTAAGGACAGTTCTTTACAGCTCAGTGTGAAACAATCAAAGAAGATTACAAGGAATCTGAGAAACTCTTCACTGTGAATTAACTGATTATTGTTATTCATTTTGTACACGCATATTGTAAATAGTCCTATGCAGCACAACATGCAATTAAAGTGTGGGATAATACACAAATGTTCTGTAGCTGTTTCAAGATATTCAGAGGGATATTTTTTTGTTGCTGGTCAAAGCAGTGTTTTATTATGGCCTAGAGCGTTGGTCCATGTGGTCCTGCTTTTGATTAACAAGCATCTGCCTTCTGCCTTTATTTGTGTCAGCAGCAGGTTTGAACATCACACGTCAGTGCTTTTTTTCCATATTTGGCAAAAAATAGCTTCTCTTCATCAAGCACCGAGAACTGTGAGGGGGGCTACCTTAATCTGGCATTGAATGCCTAGCCAGACGTTTAATTTGGGTTAATCGAGGTTTGTATTTTATTTGTGGTAACGCAAAATTGCCACCAGTTGCTGTGGTTCCCTTCGATTCTGTGGCGCGTTTGAGCTGCCGATTCAAACGTTGTCGCACCGTTCAACAGCCATTATCACTCATTAAACAATGCCATACTGTCCCACAGGCGAGAGGTGAATCCAGTGTGAGACATTGTGTTTGGTAGCCATGTAGTCGTCTTACTGTTCACTGGGTTGTTTTAAATGATCACCATCAACACAAAGGCCCTTCCTTCCGCTGCCCTGAAAAGCAGCAGCATGTTAAGGTTTTAAAATAATCCTGGCAGCCCATATATTTTATTTTGATCCATGCTCTCACCATTTCCTTTAATATTTGACAAAAATTAATATATATTCAAAGGACCGGTCTTTATAGCAAGGGGAAGAAAGGAGTTTTCATTATTGCGCGCTGCAGAAGGACTGGTGGAGCAATTTCTCTCTTTCAGGCAAGGTTATGAATGAAGGGAAGAGTGACAGCATATAAAAGGCTGTTTAATTGCTGACTGATTACTGAGTGTAGTATTTGACATTATCAGAGGAAAGCATAATGAGTTGCCAAGTTCCTTTGCAGTGGATGCAAAAGTGTGGAGGCATTTCATCACCCACTGTGACGTCCTTTTGCCCTTGGTTTAGACCTATAGAGAAAGAACTGGTGCTGTTGTTCTCCGAACACTTGATCACTAGCAGTAGGTAAGTTAACTGCTAAAACTGTTTATATTAAGATGTAGCTTGTTGTTTCTGACCTGATCTCTCTTTCTTTCTCTTTGTCTTCCTCCTCCTCTTTACAGGACCTGTGAGCAGCGTGTTGGTCAACTGCTTTGGAAGCCGGCCAGTCGTTATACTGGGTGGACTGATGTGTGGGGTATCTATGGTTGCTGCTTCTTTTGGGACCTCCATCATTTACCTTTACTTTTTCACTGGCATCATTGGAGGTACAATACCTTAATATATTTCAAAATGTTGTCTATGAGTAAATATCTTCAGACACTATTGCCTGAAAAGCTGATAGATTTTTCTACTTGCATTCAAGCAGTGTCCACGGACGGTTGACCAAGCAATCAGCCCCAAACTAATGCTATGTGCTCAGGTGACTCAAATACGATTTGTTTCCCTTGAAGTGAAGTTTCCCTTAAGTCTGGTCTTTTCCACGAATAGAAATTTTTCATATAATGTCTGGGCCACTTCCATATGTGGCCCTAGAGCCAATACATATTTGATCCCTGATCATACAACCGCTATCAGAACCATCAGATTGAAATTCATGTTTTTATGTTTGTTTTTCTTTTTTTTCCCCAAATTTCCTGCGTCCGTGCATACACATATTGTCTTTCATCATCATTCAGTGCCTGACCCTCACAGACAGGTTGTAAATAAACCTAGAGGAGAGCATCAACACTTTAAGAGGGTCAGTAGAGACATGAGGATGTTTACTTTTGTTTAACATTTATGGAGAAGCTTAATCCTGCCAAGCTAGCAGGAACAAATCTTAACCAAGCAGTTTTTCAGGGAATTGCACAGTTCATTTAAATCTGCACATGCCTGGCAGTTTAGGACCCCAGTGGTGTTCACACTGGAGCTGGGTAACGTGATCTACAAACATGAATGTGAACCATCAACACGAAAAGATCGGTACTGAGCATCGAGGTCTGTTTTATGAATGTGGTGAAAGACAGTGAATGAGCAAACTGCTTTTATGATATGGATCCCAGACTTGTTTAACTTAACATTCCCATCAGACCAGGTTAAGGCCCTATGGGGTTGGGAGCTTGGCAACTTGCCCCATTTCAGATTCAGAATCAGAATCTCTGGGTTGCCAGATTTGGTTCCCCTGACTGTTCTGCCGTGCTGTTTGTCAGGGGCCCAGGGCATCTGCCCCAGCTCCTGGGGTGCAATTAGAGCAACGTGGGGACCAGAACCAGGACGGTAATTAAGACAGAAACCATCTCTTGTCCCAGAGAGCATGCTCTTCTGTGGCCCTCTGTACTCTCCTGTAGGCTCCCATCACGGTCCTCACATGGGGGCTCCCTGCCACCGTGTGAGGCTCATTACCCTGCCAAGGACTGTTGTGAAGGATTAATAGGCCCAGTGAGTGGCTGGGCCATGTGTGGTGCCCGGGGGCATGTTCGTGCCCTGCTTTGCTCCCCAGTGCCCTGGCACACCGACACATAGGCATAAGGCAATTTTACCAAATAGACTTGCAGACTTATGCTCACACACACACATGCATACACAAATGCATGCATACACAGAGAGATAATCATTTAATTAAAAACTTTTCAGAGTCAATGAATGACTTTCAGGAAGTAACTGTCCTTTTGAATTAGGTGTGGACAGTCAAGGTCAGCTTTAATATCATTATACAAGGTTGCAGAAAAGGAACTGTGGATACATACTGTGTGAGGCATAGAGGTCAGCATGCAGATGTTTGAACTCCTGAAGTGTCACATTTTATATAATGTGGGGCAACGAAGGACATCTGAGTGATAAATTGTTAAAACATTGGAGGAAAAAAATTGTCAGCTGTGTAGTGCTAAAGTGATAGTGTGTATGGACAGGGGATTTTTTTTGTAAAACGCCCTTATATATGGGTTGTTTGACAAGCAGTGATGTGTTAGGCAGTTTGTTTTTTTTGCTTTTTGTTACTGCTAAAGCTTGGGATTTAATTTCCTAATGGCGCTACCTCTGGTCATGTGTTCCAACAAACACATTTGCTGGTGGGAACCTGGTGAGTGTGTGTGTGTATGTATGTATGTATACAGTCTTATGCAAAAGTTTAGTTTTGTCTTCTTGCAGAATAAAGTGTTTTCTTGCCATGAGTATGACCTTAATTTATAATTATTGGATAACACTGCTGGGATAATGCACCAGTTTTTCCTGAGCACGGTGGAATCCATACATTAAAGTTTGAACTCTGGTTGCCTGCCTGGACTGCACAGAAAGTGTTGATGGACTTAATGCCACATATTACAATGAACTGTTTAATTTATTTTTCATTTGTTTTGAAAATTCCATCACAGCATCCAAACTTTCTGATGCTTAATCTTTGGATTGCCAAAGATTTCATCAGCTCTTAAGAAATCTGAAATGTTATTTTTATCCCCACACATCTGCTAGTGTCCGACACAGACTCGCATAGTAATTCAATGTCTCAGAGATGCACCAATTTTTGTGACAGTATTGTTATTTTAAAATCAGAGTAATGCAAAATAATGCCATTTCTATGTTAAATTTATATATAAGGTTACTATCAAATCAAGATGCTGAAATACACTTCTTCCCTATGTTAGTCCTAGTGTTTGGACACACCTTGACTAGAGGTATTCACAAAAATGTTTTTCCAACAAACTTTCTCATAAAACCAGAGAGGAAGATTAAACTGACACTGGCAAGAGATAATTCAGCAGCCTAACCAACCACCTGTAGCTCTTCATCTTAAATTGAATTTTGGGTAGAAAGGCAAGAGAGTCAAGGTGTTACTCAGGCTCTAATTTATTTCTGCTTAAATGGAAGAATTATTTTTGCAACAATTCCAGCATTTTGTAATGAGATTTTAGCTGGTAAAAGTGAAAGGAGATGGAACCTTAATGAGCACAAAGCAGAATCCCTCTTAATTTAATTTAACAAGTGCTGTTTGGAGTTTAGGTTCAGGAGGGTTTTCCCTTAGGAGAATTTCAGTAATGTAACAGTTTTTTTCTCTGTCTACACACAGGTTGTGGACTCTCCTTAAACCTTAATGCATCTCTCACCATCATCAGCAAGTATTTTTTGGCCAAGCGCCCTTTAGCCAATGGACTGGCTATGGCTGGGAGTCCAGTGTTTCTGTTCTTCCTGGCCCCTCTCAACCAATATCTGCTGGACAAGTTTGGCTGGAGAGGAAGTTTCTTTATCCTTGGGGGCCTGATGCTTAACTGTTGTGTTGCCGGCGCCCTGATGAGGCCTGTTGTTCTGCCCTGTAAGCCGCCCTCTTTTGCACTACAGAAGATAGTGGAGGAACAGCCAAATAAGAGCAACAATAAGCTGGAAAGAAGCTGCACAAAGAACACTAAGATGTTCTGTGATTTGTCCTTCTTCAAAGATAGAGGCTTCGTTATTTACCTCATAGGGAACATGATGTTTATCTTCGGTGCCTATGCACCCTTTCTGTTCCTGTCTGCTTATGCTATTAGCCAAGGTGTAGCGGAGTACTCTGCAGCCTACCTGCTCTCCATTACAGGCCTCGTGGACATGTTTGTTCGGCCTGGCACTGGCCTGGTGGCCAACAGCAAATGGATTAGGCCTAGAATCCAGTACTTTTTCAGCTTTGCTATGATTTTCAATGGTACATGCCACTTACTGTGCCCGCTGATCAGAAGCTACTCCTTCCTGGTGGTTTACGCGGTATTTCTAGGCATTAGTTTTGGCATGGTCTTCGCCCTGATTTTTGAATGCCTGATGGACCTGATGGGAAATCAGCACTTCCCCAGTGCTGTTGGACTAGTCACCATCATGGAGTGCTTCCCCATGCTACTGGGACCACCTACCGCAGGTAACTGTGCACACTGGACATCAACTTCCATTTCTGGATAGAACAGAATCAGTCTGACTGACATGAAAAACAACACCACACAACAAACACTTTCCTGTGTTTACCTGTAAATTGTTGAATCTGATGACACATTTGCTCTCAGTGCATTTTAGATTTCCTTATGCAGCTCCTTTCTCCAGCTGAAGAGCCTAATGTGCACATGCAAACCCAGCTCCTGAAGAAGAAATGCATTGTCGATTTTTATCGATTAGTTGTTGCTACATACATGTAGCTTGCGTGGAGTATGAAACAGAACTTATTCTCTACCTGCGTGTTCCCTACAGTTATTGGACCTAATAAATGATGCTATGGTCTGGTTGCAGGATCCAGTCAGGATTCCCACCTGAACCAAATGTGCTGATACCAGTATAGACGTATACTTTTATGTTTGTTGTTTTGACATTGTTGGCAGGAATAGACTATAATTACTTGGGATTTTTGTAATGCATCTCAGCATCACCCTGAAACTGCATTACTGAGCTTTTTTACTTATGATCAAATATGATAATAATCCCCGTTTCATCTGATAACACACATCTCCAGCACTCTTCTGTCTCTGATGAGGCTTTAAGATGGAAGTGTTGGACAGCTACCTTCATGGGCTAAATTACTATGTAATCAGAAAGGTATCGTTTACTCTCTGCCTGCTCGCCGTTTTCAAGATTGGTGCACTTTTGTAGAACCCACTATAAAACACTCGATTCAGTAAAAAAAAACTGAGGCACTGCATATAATGACGGTAACAGTATCTGAAAAAGGAGCCACTGAGCAAACACTGTTTTTGTGATAATTTACCATTTATCATAGAACAAAAGCGCTTTGTATTGAAGCCTTTCTGTTGACATCAGAGCCCGTAACAGCTGACACAGGAGCAGGAAGTAGAAAAGAGGTTTCTCTGGCATGTAAATGCATTAGTCCTTACCGATGAGGTATAATAGCTATTTTGTTGTGAAATAACCTTAAACAATGTCACTGTGCTGGACAGATGTTGTGTGATGAATTGCCCTGTAGTAGAGGTGCACTACTACAGCTGGAGCCTTACTGCATATTTGCTGTTTAACATTACTGATGTCTATGGATATTAGCAGAACAAGGACCTATTGATTCTTTTACAGTAGAGCATAAGTGAAAAGTTCACATGTCCAAAGTGCACTGTAGACATTTAGCAATGACATCTGGATTTGTCAATGAAGAAGTTGCACAATAACTTTGGAAGCTTTTATGCCCTTACTCATTATTAAAGACAGATGAAGTTTAGAGCTGAAATCATTAATTCATTGATCCCTAGATTGATTTGAAGGATAATAAGCTGTTTTTGATCAATTAATAATGTGTTATTTTTCAAGTAAAGATAAATAAAGGAAACAACAACAGGTAAATATGAAAATAAGTTCAATCATAACTAGAAACTCATCTAAATTTTAAAAAACGCAAACCACACTTTTCAGTGTTATCACATTACGGTGCTTTGGAGTTTTGGACTGTTCATAGACAGTAGGAGATGTGATCAGGGCTTTTTATTTTACTGACCAAACAATGATTTATTTAATCAAGAAAAGAATCAGATTCATCAGCAATGGAAATAGAAATCTGAAGCCCAGTCAGGTGATTTATAATAATCTATTATAACAATGCAGTCTAGTCTGTGGCTTTACAATATATATTACATATTATTGTGTACAGTCCTCTTCATCGTTAGAAAGTCAGTTTTCACAAGGGAACTGTCAAAAAGAAAACCTGGTGCCAATGCACTGCGCCTTAAGAAGCCCCCCTCTAAACCCCACAGAATTGTTATGAGTAGTTAACTAACTGGTGCTCTATCTGTCTATCAACTTTAAAGTTTACCTGGAGGCGCCTGTGCGGTGTCCAAGACAAACACTGAGGACTTAGTATAGTTAACGTGACTTAATCGGCTGTACATGACACCCCACTGACAAACTTTTTCTTTGTCTCCAATTTGAGTTTTGATGAGCTGAAAATGTGTGGCGACCCTGTTCTGAGGGGCTGATTTAATAGGGTAAATAAGTGTCTCGCTGCACGTCTAACGTTCTCCTCCAGAGCAGGACACTGTGTGTCCCCTGGAGGAGAACGCTTGTTACTGCTCTCCCAACCTCCGGGTCAGTCCAATTAGGGGGAAGTGAAGTAAGTGAGTGTAATTAGCCTTTTGCTTTGGGTTTTTAATGACTCTCGGTTCAAACTCTCATCGTTAAAGTCCTGTACCTGGGCCATAATTAAGCTGTGAATACTTTTAAAAAGAGGTGACAATACCAGATGGGCTTAATTACCACTCAGCCAATCAAGGACTGTTTTAATGAGAGTGATGGTCATTGGTGTGGACACACCAGATGAGTGCTATCAATCAGATAGGGTCTGCACTGAGATAGCTGAAACTAATCCAAATGCAAAGTGACCCCTCCTAGTGCAGTACAGCGCACACACACACACACACACACGAACATCATCATAATTCTTTGTCATAAAGACGGTAATTGGTGTACCTAAGGACAGTACAGAGGAGCTGCCCTAATTTAATAGATTTAGATTAACATACTATAACATGCTATGCAGTAGAGACACCTCCCATACTGTTATGTAATGGCAGTCTCATCAATTATAGCACAAGATTTATTGAAAGTTGGAGGGTAAAAATGGCACTAGTTTGTCACAAACACTCCTCAGTTTGTTGATAATGTGATAATAAACATAGTTAAATCATTTAGAAAGGTACATTGTTATGAGATGAAAAATAAAAAATATACAGGCTGAATTTGTTGGTTTGTTTAGTCATTTTCTCTAAGGAGTATAAAGGGAGCATATTCTTGGTCAGAATGATTCACACATTGCAGAATCTTTCCATTAAATCAACGAGACTAAAATGTTATAAAGGAGGGTTTGTAATACAACGAGATAGACAGGTAGACACTCACCCATCGATCCATGTCTTGAGGCCTGGTGCAGTTAAAACTCTGAAAACCTGGAGGCTTAGATCTGATCTAAACCACATTTGTCGCTTTTCTGCCGACTTGGGCTTGATATTTATAGCTCGGAGAATGGGCCTCTCTTCTGATTCGTTTTGGTAGAAGCCGTCCAAATTGCCTTCCAAGAGGTGCAGGGAGAGCCAGGAAGGGTGTAATGGCCCTCTGTCATTTCTGACATGGCTCTTCTCAAATTGGCCCCTTCTCACTTTGACTCTCTCTCTCTCTAACACACACACACACACACACACATCCATAAGCCAAATCTGAGTTTGTTCTTGCTCTTCACCTTCAAACTTGTAAAGTGGTGAAATGAAGATATTATTTAGTGACATACTGTCATTCTTAGGTGACCTACTTTCTTTGTCATGGTGTGCCACATTTCCTAGTGTCTAATGGTTTTACAGACAGTGTGGTGTAACTTGGATTGCACTGACCCTCACTTGGTTTGAAATATCATAATATCTTTGTGCCCCTCCCTTTCTCTGCACAGGGCTACTGGTGGACCTTTTTGACTACAAGTACCTTTTCTTCATGTGTGGCTCGGTGATCGCAAGCGGCGGGATTTTCCTCTTCGTTATGAACATCTACAACTATCACATGCTGGATAAAGAGAATAGAGAAAATGACAGCGAGCCGAATCAAAGAACCATAGAGATGCTGGATCAGGTTTTAGAGGTAGCGATGAAGCAGACTGCTGATGCAGCAGAGGAAAGAACTGAGCCTGGGGCTAAAGAGAGTAATGGAGCCCAGGAAGATCCATGATCAGAGAAATCAGAAACACTCCTGTATGACTCCTCCATGTAACATGGATGTTAGGGGCACATGAATGTGTGTATGTGTGTGGATGTTAAATTCGGCCAGTCAGTTAACAGCCAGTCATTTTGAGATATAACCATGTAGGTTGTTGGACAAAGCCAAGGCTACAGCCATGGCAGCAGCCCTGTGAGACTGTACTTATGCACAGTGGTGCTTTGAGCTAGCATCAGTATGCTAACATGCTGACAAAGTCAATGATCAATATGGTTAGGGATGGGTTTCAGTAGCTGATTCTGTTTTGGATCCGTTCCATGCTGGTGAAATAGGCTTCATGCCCAAATGACTCCCTTATCAAACCTGTCAAAACAGAATCAAAAATAATCCGGTCCAATCCAGAAAAATAGAAATTTTGTACGTTTTTGAGGCAAAGGGTTTGCTTCACTGAAAGGTGACAGGAAATGATGTCATCTCTCTCACCCTTTTTTGTGAAGGATGAGCATGAGTGTATTATTGAAACCTATTTTAATCATTATTGTATTATTGAATGTACCATTGAAAATTAAGTGAAATTATTATTGAAGTTGTTTAAATAAAACATCCATGAAGTCGATCTTCTTTCACACAAAGTGAGGAGAGTGAGGACATTATTTCCTTTCGCTATATTTTCTAAACTGAAAAGAAACAATATTAATTGTTGCAGCTAAATCATGACACCCCTGCTGGAAAAAAGGCAAGTATATGTGCTGCAGAAATTCCTTTAGTTACTGGGAGAGGTGGTCATGCCTCTGCATCTCTAGACTTCCCCTACATACATTCTGCACAGTCAGATTTCATGGCACTCATTCCAGAGTTCTCAAGATACTTCACAAAAAAAAACAAACACTAATAAAATATCAACCTCATGGTTATGCTAGATGAAAACGCAGGGGATCATTAAGATCAGCAAGATTTAGCCTTTAGAAACCATGAATGCCTGTCTAAAATTTCCAGGCAATCCATCCAATAACTGTTGAGATAATTAAGTCTTGACCAAAGTTGTGGACTGGTGATCCAGATCCAACCAGACATTACCACTTCTAGAGCCATACTGGCTAAAAATGCCACTTGCTGGTTCCAGCATTTCAAATATGTTTCCTTTTTTTTTTTTTTTGGAATCCATTATTAATGATTAATGATTTGTTTTTGACTGTGTGATAAGCAATTTCAACATTGAACCACTGAGACAACATTGGCTTAGAGAAATAATGATCAGCACTTTTTCACTATTTTCTCTTTTTATAGACTAAAGGGTTATCCAAAACCTGAAGAACTGAAGAAATACTTAACAGATTATCCTTTTTTTTCAGGAGTACTCTTATTCTAGCCATACCAAACTCAGCTATTCATCTGTCCAGTCAGCCAGTTTGGTTGTCTCTTCCGCTAGAGGCCATGACAGTGTGTGCGGATGACACACTAAACCAGGATCAGTTACTTGTCACCACCCCGTGTATGCTGTGTTATACCTGTAATGTGGTTTTGACTTTGGGTGCATTGCCTTGAATTCTTGTGGCAAATGCTGAAAGGTACACAGCCTCAATAGGTGAGACTGAATTGTAATGTCTTCTCTCACATGACGATGACCCTTGAATTCTTACTGTTCATGTCAGATGACTGTCGAAGAAAATAGTAATTATACTTGTCATGTACATAACCTCAGGTGAGTAGCTTGAGATACTTTGCAGTGAATACATTACAAATAGTTAATAGGTTTCACAAATAAAGTACTGAGGCTACCAGTAAAGACAGGAATGTTTTACAGGTGTAACTACATATTTTACCTCCTGTTAAGTCTTGTAAGATCATTACTAGTCTGAAATGGACATACAGTTACAAAACGTGCTACTCAGGTCTAGGGATGGGACCATGTGACTTTTTCTTGATATGACTGATGCATGATATGGTGTGTATGATTTGATTCAATCACGATACAGTTAAAAATTCATTGATGACAATGTATAACTAGCTGTGAAATACTTCTACTTTATTCCTCTTTTCTAGGTTGATTATGTAAAGAACAACCAGATATACTGACTAAAGTTCTGCTAGGGTATCATTGGTACATGGAAACCGCACAATATATATCTCTAGACAAAACGATACATATTTTTTTGTTTCTGTATCGCAATATATTGAATTTCGATACATTGTCCCATCCCTACTCAGGTGTTATTTTGACTTTTTGATCACTCTCTAATCTACTGCAAAAAGTATCACCTTTTAAAATTGTTGTCAGTATTTATTTAATCTCAACTTTTATTCTGAAATTGATGTGTGTTCCACTCTAATATAATGATTCTATGCTGACATTTAGCTGTGACATTTGTTACTTGGGCTAGAATGCATTTGCATGCACAGTTAATTGATCTGATGCTGCATTTGCACATGTGAGTGAATGTGTTTGTTGAAGTGCAAGTGAGTGACAAAATAAGAGAGAATGTGTAGTACAAACAATCCAGAATCCAGCTGTTACAAGGTTTATAAGGTTATAAAGTTTAAGGCAATAGCAGTTTTGTGAATATTGTGCCCAGAAGAGTTTAATGAGGCCTTTAGTTTAGTAGTTTGATAACTGTTCCCAGTTCTTCTTATAACTGCTTACCTTAATAAAACCACCCGTATTTCATTGTATTTGTGGGGCGTGTTCGTTTTATATTAAAAAGAGAAGACTAATAAGAGGATATATATTTCACAGTGTGAAATTTATTATGCATTAACGTATCAAAATTAGCATGTGCACATGGAGCCTCACTGTTTAGGATAAACAGGAAAGACTGACTTCAACTTAGTGGTATACAATATTTGTATGAAAAGGTACTACTATCTAATTGGTCCAAAACTGTTGGAGAGAAGTCGTGGTTTAGACTTAACTCTCCCGTTATTGGTCCTTCAGTCCGTCCATCCTCTCTGCTCCAATCATCGTGGACAGCGCCCTAGGAAGGGGAAGAATACCTGTTCTACTTTAATTCCTACATACACACTCACTTCTTCCTTTGTTTTCAACTAACTGCTCTATATTACGCATTGCTTTCCGTTTCACTTAATTAAAACTGTTCTGCCTGCGTGTGTGTGTGCATAACTGTTCTCATGAAATTCAGTAATTTAGTGGACAAGACTTATGATGTTGCATTAGTGTTTCAGTGACTCACACAGCAAATATTTGACCAGTGGTTCAGTGAACACATAGGGTGATATTCATAACTATATAAACATAACAGTGACATATAAGTATGTAAACTTATGTGTGCTATAAAATAAAACCATTCTTAAGTGCATAAAATAAAAATCACCCTAACAATGTGTGCGTGCTCTTATATACTTTGATATTTTTTGTCATATTTCTGAAATGTATTTTGCACCAGCAAACCTATTATTTGTGGATGATGAATTTATTCTGCAAATGTGAACAATGAACAGTCCCATCTCACCTGCCTTCATCGCTCATTGTAATGTCCAGAAAAAGATGAAAGTGTGTATTTGCATTCCACGTACAAGCAGTGAGGAAATGACACTCAGATACAGGAGGAATTCCATCAAATAAAGTCCACCATGCAGTTTCTCTGTGTTGGTGGCTGTGTCCGATATTTCACGACAGTTAGAAGACTGAGGAACAAGTTTGGAAATGTCAGCAACCTAAGGGCATGAGCACCTAATGAACCAAGCCCCAGATGTTCCAGACTAGTGCTCTGAGCTGCATGAAGCCTCACACACATCAGCAAATCAGTGGGCCAATTAATTAGAAATACATGCGCAAAAAACACATGAAGACACCAATTTATTGCACTCTGCTGTCCCTTTGCTCAGTATTATGCAAGGTCTTTGAACATGACAAGGTGGAAAGGTACTCCAGAGACAAGGTGATGGGTGCTGCGGCCAGGAATCAGTGTGTTATATTTCCTTTCACCTCCTGTTCCCCTCAGGACTGCTGACCCTCCTCTACAGTTGCCCTCCCCACAGTGTGTGCTCTGTGGAGCTTTGTGATTGTTGTCCTCCATAGTCAAAGGTAAAAAAAAGACTTCTTGGTCTCCAGGGTCTCTTGGAGGTGGTCGGGTGACTAGGCAAATAAATCACAAATTATGAATAACATGCCTTCAGGTAGTTTGAAATTTGGTAAATGGTCCTCTACTTGTATAGCACTTTTCTATGCATTGTAGCACACTCAAAGTGCTTTCACACTATTTGGCCTTTCGCACTCCCTAGCAATCACACATTCATGCACTGGTGACATCACCGGGAGCAACTGGGGATTTGGTGTCTTGCTCAAGGACACTTCGAGATGTGGACTGGACAAACTAGGAGTCAAACCGCTAATCTTCCGGTTAGGAGACCTCCTGAGCCACAGCCACCCTGAATGGTCAGTTGTGTGGTATTTTAGTTATTACTGTTATGTGCTTTTGAATAAAGGTCAAATACATATGAACCTCCTCAGAAGAGAAATTCTGCCTGTTGGTATCTTGAGTACCTTGCTAAAGACGCCAGTAGGAAAAGTGTTTGGTTCAAAGGTGGCCTGCTGAGACTGGGGCAAAACTTAAGCAAATCAAAAAAAAAAAAAAAAAAAAAAAAGCTTAAAACACACTAAGCATCGATGTCTAAATTAAAAAAGGCAGGAAGAGAAGCAGTGTGTGTTTCTTGCTCATCTCTAAATGAGGACTCAGTCACCATTTACTAAATCTAATTGACAGCTCTCAGTTAACTGTCAGTTCTTTTTAAACAAGTAGGCAACCTGGGAGCGAGTGATTGTAGTAATTGGGTATCACTCTTCATGAAAACATTCTGCCTGTGCACGTGCAAGTGATGTGTAATTTTGTGTTCATCAGCATCTAGCTGCATTAAACGAAGTTAGTGCAGACAAGAGACTGTGGTGTCTGGATGTTGATTATCAGCCCTTCTCCTGACCTTTGGATCTGTGCGAATCAGATCTCGGTTGTTTACAATAGGGGGCTAACCTGATGAATCTGGAGTGGTCTTACTCAAGCGAAAAGTCAGAGACAAGCAGGAAGGAAAGAATGTGCTCCCAGAGGGCTCAAAGAGCACTGGCATCTATCAACAGAAGAAATTGAATGGGAGGTTTCAGAGCAGCAGCGATTAGATAGGCCCAGGGTGTTGAGCAAGCAAAGGCTACCAGTGTAATGCTTCCCTCGCTGGAGTGCATACACACACACACACACACACACACACATGCACTCACACTGAGCATCCTACAGTGGCCTTTAGATTTGAAGAAGTGATGTGATGCTTTGTTATTTGCTCAGGGAGTACACTGAGGGATAATGCTAGATAACAGTGTAGGAATGCTATTTCCACATTAGCCACATCTTCATTAGAACTTGTAGATGACAGGCACCATGTGATTCCCATTTGGGGTGTTAGTATCAGCACCTAAACAAAAGATCATCAAGAAGGACTTACATAGTAAATTTCATCAAGCACCACTGGAAATGCCACATGTTCCCTTCAACAAGGTGATTGTTTTTCAAATACAGTAAGTTGAATTTACGGGACAGACCTCAACACTATAATATATTTATGAATATAAGTATGATTCCCTACTGTAAGTATAAAGAATAGATTAAAGTCTCTAAATATTAAGAGTCAAAGTACTTACTGTGTTAGCATTCATTCCCATCATATGCTTTCTGGAGGAGACATGATGTTTGATGACATAGGCTACTGGAACATTATCTCTCTTTCCTTTGTAATATAAAGCAATCCACAACATGCAAGGGCAAGGATGAAAAATGAAATCTTTGAGGTTACCTGTTGCCCCTTTTTATGCTCAGCTCCTACTGCCTTTTCTCCTGTCAGCTCTTATCCTGCTATTGCTATCATGGAGAGGATCCAGTTCATGGCAGGGTCTTGTTAAAGGAGTAGTTATACATTTTGGGTATGACTTTATTCCCTCATGTGCTATATGAAAATTCAGCAGCTAGTTAGCTTAGCATGAAGACTGGAAATGGGGAAATAGCATTCTTGGTAATCAGAATCAGAACTGCATTTACTGGACAAGTATGTTTAAACACACATGAGATTTGTCTCCAGTACAGGGGCTCTCAGTGTGTGTGTAAGTCAGCAAGATATATATATATATATATAATTCC